CCCCAAAACCCCAAAACCCCAAAACCCCACTATCTAAAATAATCAAAATATTCGATTAATAAAAAAAATTTAAATTCAAAATATATTCAGTTATTCTTTTAATTTTACTTCTTTTTCTCAACGTTTTATGATTAGGGTTCAGATTGTATAAAATATGAAAGAACAGCCACAGCTCCTGTGATTGTACTAAATACTGCCATAGGCACGGGTGCCTCAACCTCAGCTAGAAAAGGTGAGATAATTGTCACTAACTTAGCGAATATGTTACAAATTCCAAAGGCAGTGCCAGCAAATATTGTAGGAAATATTGTTGAATTTACAAGGAAGCATATACTAAAGGAAGCACTTACTCCAAATTTTGCCAATAGGATAAAGAATGGAATCATACTAACAGCATTAGGAAATATTAGGAAGAATATGCCACCGGAGAATGAAACTAAAAAGCAAGAAACCAGGGCAATTCTAATACCAAGCTTTTGATAAAAAATGCCACTTATGATACAACCCGAAATATCTGTTATTTAGGCTACTATAATATTGACGAAGAAATCTCCTTTTAGGTACTTGAGCTGAAAATTGATAAGAAAAAAGCCTAAAGATGTGCCTATCCAAACACAAGTCATTAAAAGTAAATTTATCAAGTGCCTTCGTATTTTAATAAGATCTTTTAAGCTGCCATTTAATTGTTATTCCTCTTTTAATATCTCAATCCTTTTTATTAGTGGTATTGTTTCATTTTCTGGCAAGCCACACCTATTTATTCTTGATGTCCGAGATTCTAAATTAGTTTAATTTATTATTCTTATATTACAATCAATTTATTCTTTTCCAGATAGAGTATTCATTGTTGATTAGTTTGATAATTCATCCAATACTTCTTTATCAAATCTAAGATTTAATGAACCTTTATACCTGTTAATTCGAGCTATAACTCTCAAGGAATCTCTCGCATCTTCATATTGTTGCTTACTTATAAGATACTTAGGTGACTCAGGTAAGAAGTTTATTGAAAAGGCTATTAGAAAGTTAATTACACAACCAAATATCTAAATATCAAGCCAATGCTTTGAAACAAACAAGAAATACAGTACTATAAATATTGGTACAGTAAAATTCATCACTTGAAGTAGAGTTCCAATGAGAGTCTAAAATTTATGAGGTGTAAGTTCTTGCATATATAGATAGCCAACTGAAATACGACCAATAGAAAAGAATCCAAAGAATCCCATAAGAAAAATTGTTAAGTTCAAATTACGAGATATAATTATTCCAAGGTATATTATAGCATGAAAAAGCATGGAGATAAAGTATATCCACTTCCTACCAAAAATATCCTACAAAAAGTTAAAAAAATGAGGTATTATACACATAATCTGGGTAGGATAAAAGCACCGATGGTCCAACCAACAAAAAAAATTGAGCCGATCAATCCAATTTTCGCTGGACTTTCACATGTTAAATCAAGTGATTCAACCCAATTATGGAGACTAGAAGGGTAGTCCCAGTCAATTTTATACTTGATAGAGGGATCCTTGCAAAAAGTTTAATAGGCTTAGCATTCATAAGTACTTCCATCAGCATTGAAACATAAGTATCAAGGGTTTTTCTCTAGCATAGGTAAAGCAAGAAATAAGAATGCTCCAATTGAAAATCCCAATGTAAAATGTACTGAAGACCAGTATTGAAAACGTGCAAAGCCTCCTATTTTATCATATGCTTACTATAATGATAAACCATCTTTGAAAGTTTCTTCATCATTAACAAATGTCTGGTAACTTTCATCATTTACATTTTCTACTGATAAATCCTCGGTGTCTTTTTTCATTTTTTAGTTTTTAAAATCTAAATTTTGAAATTAAAATTAATAACTTATTAAAAAAATTATAATAATTTCAATTGATTTTAATGCTTTTATTTTCCATTTCTTATCATTATTACTCTCTTATGGGGTTTTGGGGTTTTGGGG